TCTCATGGTTGTCTTGATTTGCATCTCTCTCAGGGCTAGGGATTTTGAACATTTCTTCATGTGCTTGTTGGCCATCTGAATGTCTTCCTTGATGAAGTGTCTGTTCATATCCTGTGCCCATTTTTCAATTGGATTATTCTCCTTTATCTTGTTGTGGTGCTCAAGTATTTTACAAACATTGTATTTCAAGGTGGATCTAGAAATGTGTTTTTTTTAAACTATAAAAGTGACTCCATTTTTTCCTTACCTTTTCAACTCCAGTGTAGTAGATCATATGATCATCTGATTCAAAATGTCCCATGTCAATCCATCTCATTTATCCAATAACTAATATGTCACTATTTATGTGTTCCATTTCTTTCTTAACAATGTCATTTTTTTTACATTCGTTTCTCTCACATTGCACGTTCTAGTCATTAGTTTCTTCTTACAGTTTTCTCCTCCACTGTGTTCCAGGTCTCAGGTCATATCTCACTGGTCATATCTGTTAGTCACCTCTAAGTGTGCTCTGCCGCACAGGTCGGGACAAGCAGACGCTGACCTTCGCTCCGTGCAGGTGGCTGCATGGACTTATAAGGAGAGGTGGGCAGTCCTGTCCAGTGGTTCCTGGTGGGTGTCCTCCTGCACGCATATCTGCTGGCTGATTAGGTGGGCTGCTGGAATTGGATTCTGTTTGTACAAGGCTTCTCTCACCCAGGAGAGATGCCCTTTAGAGTTCATTTAAAAACCACAGCGCCTTGATGAGGAGGGAAGCCTTCACCCAGGGAAGGTTCCTGAGGGAGGGAAAGGGGGCCCCCAGTCCTGCAGGTAACCCCAGGAGCTGAGGGCAGCTGCAGTTCTGCAAGCCAGAACACAGAAACAGTCCCCCAAGCATGGAGACGGAAGGACGTGCCTGGATGCAGGATCCCCTTCAAGGATGGGAGCGGGACGTGCTCCCCCTTCTAGGGCTGCGTGTTTATCCTGCCATGAATTGGGACCCAGCTGCAAGAGAGCTCCCCGACCATCCGTCTGCATCCCTGTAAGAGGCCTGAACAAAGCAGTTTGGGGAGTCTAGCCGTGTTGGAATTGGATCGACCTGAAGCTCCCAGCTCCTGAGCAGTAAACTTCCTCTTACTAAAGAGTTGGTGATTTCTCTGTGTCCCCTGGGCCCCATCTTCCAGCAGCGTTAGTGCGGTTAGAGAGGACACAGCTTCCCGGTGCTTAGCGTCTCGATCCTGACAGGAGCGTCCCAGTCCTGGCCTTCTGGGCAAGGTGGCGCTTCCCCAAGCTTTTCCAAGGTTAGTTCTTGCAGGTTGATCTTGTAAGTTAAGGAGTCCTGTCTTTATTTAGGGGCTCTAACTTTGCTGTGCTTGGAGAATGGGATCTAACCCCAATGCTGGCTTCTTGAGTCCACTGCCACCCCATACAGGGGAAGGGATGGTCTCCAGTGGAGACTGCAGGCTGACACCCGCGGGGAGGTCTCTGTCCTGCAGGCCCGCGAGGCACTGGGACTAACTTGATGGTGGACAGTGGACTGTGCTTTGATCCGCCACCTGACATAAATAAAGAGGGAATGCATTGCCTGCCCTGTCACCAAGGTCACCCCCAGATGTCCTCCGTCCAGGTGGGGTACCCTGGTCTTCTGCTGCAGACACAGGGAGCCCAGTGTTGGGTCCTGAATGGCCACTTAGAGATTTTAAGACCAGGAAGCCACAGTGTGAGCTGGCCCATAGGACAGTACTGGACAGGCTAGCTGACAAGACACAAAGCCCTGGGCCTTGGCCCCGAGGAAGCAGGCTTATGCATGAGCCGCGTCACCGCTGCATTTCCTGTGCTTCTGTATCACCCATGACCGTCACAGTGTGTTAGCCGAGTCATCACGGTGACACTTCCCCTCGGGGCTGCAGGTCACACGGAAGGAGATGGCCATGCTCCTGCAGCCCCTGGACAGCCGTGGACTCGGGGCTGCCAGTCACACGGGAGGACATGGCCTGTTCTGAGGCCTGCCAGGCATGCGAGTGGGGATGGCCGTGCCCCTGCGGCCCCTGGACAGGCTTGGCCTCGGGGTTGGCAGTGCAGCTTCTTGCAGACCACAGGTTTGGAGTGTGTCTCCATGCTGTCGGTGTGTCTGTGCGCACACTGTCCATGTGTCTGTATGCACACTGTGGGTGTGTCTGTGCTCACGCTGTTGGTGTGTCTGTGTACGCACGCATGCTGTGGGTGTGTCTGTACGCACGCTGTCCGTGTGTATGCACGCTGTCCGTGTGTCTGCACGCACGTTGTCTGTGTGTCTGTGCACGCATGCACGCTGTCTGTGTGTGTGTCTGTGTGTCTGTACCCACTCTGTCCCAACCCTGTGTTGGGTGCCATCAGGCTGTGCTGACTCTCAGTGACCCCCATGTGCAGTGGCCCTGTGCTGAGTGTCCCTCTGTGACCTCTTTGCTGAAGTTTCTCTGTGTGAGACAAACCATCACCTTGCCAGTCAGGCACATCGCCGGTAACACCTCCAGGAACTTACACAGGAAAATGCAGTACCACACAGTGTACCACACAGGCAGTATCTGTAGGCTCCTAGGTGATTGTTGTTTTGTGCTGTCAAGTTGCGTGTGACTCATGGTGACCCTGTGTACAACAGATCTCAGCCCTGCTCTGTCCTGTGCGAATCGTACTGTCTCGGGCACACCTACCCTCATTACCCCAGACACTGAGCCAATCCATAGCACCCCGGGTCTTCCTCTCCTGCGCTGTCCCAAAACTCTCCCAAGCATGCCGTCCCTCTCCATGGACTGGTCTCTCCTTGCAACATGTCCAAAGTATGTCAGACAAAGCCTCAGAATCCTTGCCTCCAAGGAGCAGCCCAGTTTCACCTTCTCTAGGGCAAACCTGTTTATTCTTCTATCGTCCATGGTATATCCAGTACTCCAGCAGAAGTTATTGTTGTTGTTATGTGCCATTGAGTCTCTTGTGACTCAGCGACCCTGTGTACAAGAGCCCTAAACTCTGCTCTATCCTGTGCCAACCTCACTGTCTCTGAAATACCTTCTCCCACTACCCCAGTCACAGATTGATCCATCTCATCGAGGGTCTTCATCTCCTGGGCTGTCCCTCCACCCTCCCAAGCATGATGTTCCTATCCAAGGACTTGCAACTTGACCAGAGTGTGTCAGATGAAGCTTCAGAATCCTTGCCTCTGAGGAGCAGCCCGGTTTAACCCTCTCCAGGACAAATATGGTTTCCCCCCCTAGCAGTCCATAATATATTCATTACTCTTCTCCAACACCACAGCTCAAAGGCATCAGTTCTCTTTCTGTCATCCCTAGTCGCTGTCCAGCTCTCCAATGCACAGCTCACAAATAGAGGGTTAATTAACAGAGAGACTGGCCATTGGTGTCTGGCCACAGGCCCTCGGAAGAAAGGCCTGGTGACCTGCTTTCAGAAACCCGTCCCTGAGAGCCGTTGGGTGTCAGTTCTGCTCTGACCGCGTGCATTCCAGAGGCAGGAGCACTTGAACAGCACCTTTGGGGCTGCTTCCACGCATGCGCATTGTTCCCTAGCTCTGCTCCAGCCACGTGTGTTCTGGCGTTGGGAGGACTGGGCCTCACCTGCACAGCATTGTGGGCTGTGGGGATTTCATCTGTTGGGTGACTTTTGTTATCTCATTGTTTAGTTTGTTGGTTAGACAGATGTAGATTTAGCCTGGGGAGCCCAGCAAGTGCTCCTGTCTCTGGGAGGAGCGTCCTTGTCCTGGCTTGCCTCCTTCCTGTCCGCCCAGGACACCGCAGACTTGCCCGCACGCCCAGCCAGCCCTGGGCATCCCTGCGTCCAGCCTGATGGGTACTGGGGACAGAGCAGAGGCGATGGAATGCCTGCCTCCCGCTTAGTGACCAGCAGCACATGGCCAGAGCAGCGTCGCCCCCTGTCCGCCGTGGGCCCTGCCCTTTGGGGAGCCTGGCCATGTGGTTGGAGGCTGTGGATAAGTGCCTCAGGATGATCACGTGTGCCGTGGATCTGCTGTTCAGGGTTTCCTGGCCAGCAGCCTTTGGACACTGACTTCTGAGGCCGCTGACAGGCCTGACTTCGAGGAGCCCCAGGGGGGTTTGAACTGTCTACCTTTGTTGCCAGTAATGGCAGTTCACTGACATTTCTCAGGAGCGCCACCTCGTGTGCAGTCTGGGGGCACTGACCGCGTCACTGCGTCCATCTGTAGGTCACCGCTGCCCTTGAAGCCCTGACTGGGTACCTGATGTTGTCCTTCTCCCCGCGGCCCCCTCACACATGGAGAGGCCTCTCGTGGACATGGGGATACGAGTGGCCAGGACCCCCGCGGTGGCGAGCTCTGGGTGCGGGATTAAATTTCCTTGCCCAGGTGCTGGTGCTGATGGAGCAGGTGACACGGGCCCCGCCCGTGTCCTTCCTCCACGGTGTGGTCGTCTGCCCCTGAGTCCTGCCTGGTGGTGTGCGGGCCCCTCCTCTCTGTTAACCTCTGGGTATGTGTCAGTGGCTTGGCTGTTTGCTGGGCTCTGTCAACGTCTGAAACTCCCTAACCCCTTTCTTTTCTTCCTGTAGGAATTTGCTTGCTAGAAAACAAAATGCAAGACTTGACAAACAGAGTGACTTGGGATGGAAGTTATTTGGAAAAGTGCCACTCAGAGAGAACGCTCAGAAAAACTCCAAGAGAACACAAAAGGTATCGATCTACGCGCCTGCCATCCGTCCATCCATCCACGCTGTGGGGCCCTTGGCCTGGAGCCCACATTTTACTGCCCCCACACGCTGATACCTGATGGCCTGTCCTGACCGTGCTTGTTCACGAGCTGTGACGTGGATCTGCGCTGTGATCACTCCTCAGAGTGTGCTGTGGGCCTGTGCTGTGGGCCTGGCCGTGTTCACTTTAGGGTGGGACGTGGGCCTGGTCTATGCTCACTCCTCAGGGTGGGACGTGGCCTGTGCCGTGTTCACTCAGGGTGGGACGTGGCCTGTGATGTGTTCACTCAGGGTGGGATGTGGGCCTGGCCTGGCCTCACTCGCCCCCCAGAGCGTCCTCTCCCCGCAGGGAGTCTGGTTGACAGGTTGTCTTTGTCTTGGTCTGGTTCTGTTAGGTTTGGGGAGTAGTCACTGGTGTACCGAGTTTTCTGGTAATTGGTTATGCTAATACGATATGAAATGCTGATCATTGACCCCTTGGAGGAGGGAGTGGCTGGGGCCTTCAGGTCCTGACATCCCATGGGCGACCCCTGCAGCGGCCCTTTGTCCCAGGGTGGGGCTCAGACCCCGTCTGCTGGGAGGCCCAGCTCTGGAGGACCTGGGGCAGCCCCTAGAGTAGACACGCACTTGGCCTGAGGCCCCGGCGCCCACACAGAGAGGCCAGTATGTCCCCGCCCAGTGGCCCTGCCTTTCTGCACCTACACAGCCCTCTGCCCAGCTGCTGGCCTCCCTGGCCTCTGGTCCAGAGCTAGGCCCCGCCCCATGGCCGCTGAGCCTCCAGCCACAGCTCTCAGTGTCTGCTCTCAGTGCCCTCCCTGGTCTGGACGCCTGCCTGCCTGGACTGCACGTGACCCAGCGGCCACAACCTCTGACTCTCTCAGGGCTGGCCCCATGCTGGACGCTTGCCCAGTTGGGCTGCCTGTGACCCAGCAGCCAGCTCACAAGCGCCCCTCTGTGGAATGTCCAGTGCAGGACATGGTGAGGGCCGTGGGTGAGCACCGAATGGACGCTGTGGCTGTTCTAGAGTCCCTGGTAGCACAGTTACGCCCTTGCCTATTAGCTGAGAGGTTGGAGGTTGAGACCAGCTCACAGGAGCTCAGGAGAAAGGCCGATGGTCTGCTCTGAACTGCCCTCAGGACCCCGTGCAGCTGTTCTCTGCCCTGCGGGGTCCTTATGCGTGCATCCACCACCAGCAGTCCTGTGTCAGTGCTCCAATGTCCGGCTTCACATAGCTGCACCGTGTGGAGTCCAGCCCAGGAGCTGCACAAGGGCCAGTGGGGGCAGCCCACCTGTCTGGAGTCCAGCCCCGGCACGTGGGCCAGTGAGGGCAGCCCACCTGTCTGGAGTCCAGCCCCGGCACGTGGGCCAGTGAGGGCAGCCCACCTGTCTGGAGTCCAGCCCCGGCACGTGGGCCAGTGGGGGCAGCCCACCTGTCTGGAGTCCAGCCCCGGCACGTGGGCCAGTTGGGGGCAGGCCATGCAGCCACAGCAGGCTGGGAGGGTGTGTGGGAAAAGACTGATTGGGGGTCAGGCTGAAGGGGAGACCAGTGGGGGATGACCAGGCATGGCTCTGGAATCTGGTGGAGACTCGAGGTGACTTCCACAGACCACACATCAGGTGCCTGGCCTGCTGCTCCAAAGGTGGCGACTGGGCCAGGGGCACCCTCAGCCACTGAGTGCGTATTGCTGTGCGCGGGCTGTTGGCTTTGTTTTGTCCCTTGGGGGGTGTGGGCCTGGAGGATGCTGGCTCCGTGGGTGAAGGCGCGCTCGGTGGCTATCAGAAAGGCGGGTGCCTCAGAGCACGCCCACCTCGGGTCTGGTTTCCGGGTTCCTGCTTGTCCCTGTGTTTCAGGAGAATGTGCATCATGTTCTCCGGCTTGCAGGGTTTTGTTGTGGAGCAGGCCAGGCAGCTGCCCCGTAACTCGACCTGGGCGTAGAGGCTCGCCTGACTCTCGCCATCAATACTGCCGTCTCCTTGGGCCACTTGATCCACGCGCCCCACTGGAGCCGCAGCCTCGCCTTGGAGCCTGGGTGCATGTCTCCTCTGTAGACCACGTGCTAGAATACAGTCTTGTCATTCAGGTCATTCCTGGCTGGACCACAGTCTGGCCATGTGACTGTGGGGGACTCACTGGTCTTCTCTGAGCCCTCGCTCAGGTTCACAGAGCAGTCCCCTTCCTCTAAGCTGAGGACACACAAGGTGCCAGAGGAAGCTCGCTCACTGTGTGTCACATGCCACGAGGCATGGGCTGGGCCCTACATCCCGGCCTGGCCACCTCTCCCCAGCTGGCCACAGGCCTCCTCATCAGAGATGTGGCCTCAGCGGCCTACAGACTTCAGAGTGAGGCCGCTCCACTCTAACAGACTTGACTTCTGACACACACATTACCTCCTTCAGATGGGCTCAGGTGATCAGTGAGCAGATAGGCAGCGAGCGTCTGTTGGGATATGACCTGGAAGCCCTGGGGAGGTTGTGCTGTCCCTCCAGGGTCACTGAGAGTCGGAGTCTGTGGACAACAGTGGTGACCGTTCTTTGGGAAATGTGGAAGTGTTTTTTTCAACTGTCCAAAACTGTTGATATTCTGACCCTATTTTGTCCCTCTTCAGTCTTTTCCCCAGAGTTTGTGGGGGGTCGTGGGCGTGGTCCAGAGAGAAGACCCCTGGCAGTGTCCCTCGACTTCAGGCCACAGCTGTCACCCTGGGAGTGTCAGCATTGTATGTGTCCGAGGCCTGAGGGTGGCCCCACATCCTGCAACAGCCGAGACTGACCATGTGGGATTGCTGACCGTGGGATTGCGGAACAGAGGACCCTGGGTGGGATGAGCAGAGGCACAGACATCAGAGGACACCAGTGCCCAGTCTGGTGGCTGTGCAGGCACCGAAACTGGTTACCCTGACCAGTGGTGACCATACCATCCCGTGAGAACAGGGCTGCCTTCTCGGAGCCCTTGCTGTGCGGGGTCAGCCCCTGCCATGTGAGCAGGAGGGGTGCACAGGGCCTTGGTTTGAGTTGTGTAAATGGGACTGTCCAGGACTCCCTTCTGGAATGTCACCTAAGCTTGTCGAGCCTGACACCAGAGTCCCAGCAGGAGGCAAATTCAGGACAGTCCTTGGAAGCCCCCCAGCTACAGAGGAGATGGGGGCAGTGCCAGTACCAACCAAGTCCTGTAAACCCCTCTGCTTCCACTACCCCATCTTTGAAAATGGCTTTCAACCATCTGCAAATATCAGCCAGTCTGCCTTGAGTCCCATGCACCTTTTTTTTTTCTTTTTATTATTTTATGTGTGTGTGCGCGCATACCGTCAAATTGGATCTGACTGGTACAGGAGGAGATCGTCCCTCCTTTCCTGGCAGAGCATCTGGTGGATTTGAACCGTGCACCTCTGGGATTGCAGTGCAGCTTCTTGCCACTAGGCCACCAGAGCTCTCCTCCCCATGCACCTTTGAGATCACTGAGGATGCAGCATCAAACTGACAGCAGCAATTTGGGACATGAGACCTGAGCCTGAGGGCGGTGCTTCGTGGTCACGGGGAGGAGAGGGCGGTGCTTCCTTGGTCTTGGAGAAGAGCCAATGAGATAGTAGCCTGAGGGCGGGGCTTCTGGGGAGGAGCCAATGAGACTGAGGAGTCTGAGGGCGGGGCTTCCTGGTCTTGGAGAGGAGCCAGTGAAACAGGAGCCTGAGGGCGGGCGGGGAGAAGTCCGTCTTGCAGGACTGAGGGCGGTGCTTCGTGGTCTGGTGAGGAGCCAATGAGACAGGAGCCTTTGAGACAGGAGCCTGGCTGCGGTGCTTCGTGGTCACGGGGCGGAGAGGGCGGTGCTTCCTGGTCTTGAAGAGGAATCAATGAAACAGTAGCCCAAGGGCGGTGCTTCCGGGGATGAGCCAATGAGAGGCGCCTGAGGGCGGTGCTTTGTGGTCGTGGGGAGGAGCCAAAGAGCCTGGCGGGCGGGGAGGAGCCAGTGAGATAGGAGCCTGAGGGCGGTGCTTCGTTGTCAGGCAGGGAGGAGCCAATGAGGATCCTGAGGGCGGGCGGGGCGGGGCCTGTCATCAGGACTAAGGGCGGTGCTTCGTGGTCGCGGCGTGGGGCCAATAAGAGGAGCCTGAGGGCGGGCGGGGCGGGGCCTGTCATCAGGACTAAGGGCGGTGCTTCGTGGTCGCGGCGTGGGGCCAATAAGAGGAGCCTGAGGGCGGGCGGGGCGGGGCCTGTCATCAGGACTGAGGGCGGTGCTCCGTGGTCGCGGGGAGGAGCCGAGCAGCAGAGGGCTAGCGGGCTGCGTGGGCTGAGCAGGTCCCCCACTCTCCTCTCACGAAGTCGGACTACAAACGAGCTGGCCTGCGTGTTGTGAGCGATGGTCATCAGAGCCGCCGGGGTTCCTGGCGGGGAGCGTGTGGCCGGCCACGCAGGCGCCCCAGGAGGACGGCCACCCTGTAGGATCTCCCTACGGTACTCGGCCCACCGTGGGCCCAGTTGTGGGATGTGGCTGGCTAGAGGACAGGAGACCCCGGACACTGACAGAGGAGGGGAGGACATGGAGAGGGGGAGCCTAGGAAAGTACCCCCGTAACGAACAGGGTGCACGCACCTGACCCTGATGGCATACGGTTTAGTTCCTGTCTCAATTCCGGGATAGGCAGTCACGAAATTCCTGGTGTTACACGCTCGGGGCCCATTGACAGAGTATTGCCGAAACGCTGAGACCAAGCGTGGGTGCACGACTCACAGAAGACAGGCCGGCGTCTGTGCCTGGCATCACAGGCCAGCGCTTCCTTACCCAGGGATACCCCACTGCCCATTGAGCTAGGTGGGAATATCGTGCCCAAATCATCTGACATACAACGGCGGAGGGGGCCTCTCAGTTCCCAAGGGACAAGCGGTCAGTGGACATGAGTGCTGATAGCACCGCAGTTGGATGTGTCCAGTGGAGAAGATACTAAGGGCCTTTGTAAGAAGGCACCATCCAATCAGGGCAAACACTGAAGATGGA